AAGATACAAGAGTGACTGCAAACAAATATAGTGCAATCGACCGTTTTTCGTAACCAAATCGATCAAAATGTAGTAAAATCAAGAATGCTACTTACCATGCACATGTTGGTTTTTAATCCCTTTGGTTCATCGCATAGGTGAGCCAAAATCATCCGTCCCTGTCGAAACCATTTTCACTTCTAAGATACCAATGACAATCTCAAAGAGTACATATGACAGAATAATCAAGCAAGCTTTTACCACAAGGAATCCGAATGCAAGTCCAGTACCCAGTATAACTAAATGCGGATAATTTCGCATTACATCGGAGGGCGATAGATGATCCCTTCAAAGTAAGAAAGAAAACGGAATAAAGTCGATTTACGATCAAAAAGAAGAAGAAAAATAAAGGTTGACATTGCTATAAGAGAAAAGAGGACAGACTCAAATTACCAAATGAGCACTCCAGCCATGAGTACAACAAAAGGATAAAGCTGACGAGAAAGAACATATAACACATTAATCGTTTAAGCATACGTATAAGGAAGAAAGAAACGGATAAAAGTTTGGAATTACCATTGCTAAAGCTGATAACATGCTTCCTTTTCTTGCCTTCACGACCTTATGGACGTTGCGTATACTGCAATAGAAACCATACAAGAGCATAAGAGAATCTTACCTATACATTACATTACTATGAACAAAATAAAGAATGCTGGACTGATAGAAAACTTGGCCTCTGCAATTCAATGAGCCTAGGCAGCTATGAGGTGAAAATAAAAGGGGAATTGACGATGGCGATGCAATTAGCTTATGTAATCACGTGAAGCTTCGGCTCTAACATCGGACTGGCTAAAGTGGACAATTATCCGCAAAAGGTCAAAGCATAAGTAATACAAAGCACTAGTATAAAACTACAAGAGTGTAGATAACTGCTTACTTGCAAAACACTGTAGGTAAAACAGCAAATGGTAACAACAGATATACGGCCCCTTTGTACGTTGGAAGTTCTAAAGAAAAAAAAGAGAATAAGATACTCTGAAATCGACGGATATGTAGCACTAGATTGTAGAATAAGAACACTGCTGAAACAGGGGCAACACCAAGATATGGCACTGAAAGAAGAACAAACATAGCATATGGTGGCAATCACATATCAAGGAAGTCAAGCGTGAAGCAATCTCATGATAGAATCTAAAATCACTCGTATATTGCATTTAAGGTATTTGTGCAGTACAACCGATGTCGACTAATAGAGGAACCACGTGATACTGTTGCGATTGGGAGAAAAGTATTATCCCATTTTTTTAAGCAAAGAACTTACCGGTGACGAAAGGAGTCCAACTGAAGAATGGTAGGGACTGCCTAAATGGCTGAGCCCACCACTGGGCACCTTGCAGGGAAAAAGATAAAGCAATTATAAATGATTAAAAAAATCAGAATAAGTTCAAATTTTGAAGCGTGGAACACAAGTAAAATAAAGGTTTCGTAGTAGAGGCTGCCAAAGCGCGTGTAACATCAAGTAAGGAACTATACCAACGATTGTTGTCATAAAGTGCAATGAATATATCAGTGCAAGACCCTCAGTCGGCCCGTTGACAACAGGAAGGATAAGTGAATTGGAGAAATAGCTGCAGAGAAATGAACCACAACAGAATTATCAGCAACAATAATAGAACCTTGATGAAGTGATTTCCTAGAAAACAAAATTTATAACACATTTATGGAATAAACCAAAGTAATTGAATAACTGCAGTGTATGGAAGGATTTCACAGAAAGAAAACAAAAAGCAAAAGCAAAATACAATTTGATTACTCACTGCTCCCATGTAGCACTGTAAAACGGTATAGCTGAAATTGCCCAGAACCAGAAACTGCCAGCTCCACACATGGCAGTGCTCCCAAAGGCCATGGTTTCAAACTGTAAATAGAACCAATATTGTATAATGTGAAGAATTCTATAAACCGTTGTCATGTGATACAAGTTAAAATACATACCGCACATGCGAGTGCATCACACCCTGCAATATGCCAGGACCGTTGAAAGTAATTATCCCATCAGATTTTGTGCTAATATAAATAGCAAAGGAGGGGAAATAGATGATACGCGAAATTACCATGGTCGAAAAGTTCTCCAAGCGGACTCGAGGAGTTTGTTCGTCTAGCTTGTTTCCCGTCAACAGCATCAAAAGTCTGGCAAGGTAATTACATTCATGCTCATTCCCTTCCAGAACACAACAATGGAATACAGAGAATTTTAAAAAAAATTCCAGCAAGGTGGAGGTATAAACCTGATATAAAAATAGAAGCAATCCATGCGCAAGATGAACCCATCTCGGTGGGGGTGTATCCAAGCGAGGGGAATAAACCTTGAACAGTAATACAAATCGAAAAGTGAATGGAAAGATAATGGCAAAAGAATATATACCATTCTCCCAAGCCTTCAAAGACACCATCATACACACAACCAAAATGTTTCCTGAACTATACATTTATCTGTGAAAACTACATCATAAATTAAACAGATTTTCACAGATAAGCAGGGCAACACCAGTTGTGTGTTAATTACAGAAACTGCTTCGAAGAAATGAAATTTATTTCTATACTAAAATGCAATTGCGTGAGAAAAAAAAGAAAGAGAATCTATGGTTCTTGAATCTTGCAGGCTAAATCAACTTATTCAAGTGACACCAATACCTTTCTCATTGTTTAAATGTCATTTACACACAATGCAAAATCTATGGTTCTTGAAGGTTAAATCAGCATACCCAAGTCATATTTTGTTCAGTTCAATCTATTCGAGTATAAATAACATTCAACCAACCACACAAAATGAAATGGTTGGAAGCTACAGAATAAAGAAAACACTTTCTCATCTCCTTTGAACTGAACATCAGTCGGTTAACATGAACTGGAAAAGAAAGATTAAAGAACAGGGGCTCAACTCCGAATCAGAAATCAAAATAAATAAAACATTGAAGAAAATAAGGACAGAGAGTTCCCCACTCACAAATCCAAGTAGTGCAGATATAACCAAGAACATAAACCCTGTAAGTGTTATCTTAAGAAACAAAAGCATAAACAAATTAGTAATCAAATAAGACAGGTAATACACGCATGTGCACGCATGCATGTACAGTGAAAATCACAATTCAGTAGTAGTAGTAAGAATTGCATACCATGTTTGGTCTGGTGGAAATGCCAAGCCGGAAACATGCACATATACAAACATACATAAACTCATTAGTGCCAGAAAACATCACCAAAATGCTTAAAAACCCCCATTGAAGCACATGATATGGTCTTCAAAACTTAAACTGTCACACAGATGTAAAACCCAACTGCATGTATGAAGCAACTTACGGCATCCAAAGAGGGAAGAAGGTAACAAAGCGGTTCCAAAAGGGTTGCAATACATATTTAGCAAGGTAAGAGTGATCCACTCCACTGTATTTGTATCTATGCAAAGCTGTCATGCCATGTGCCCCTATATACCCCATTCTTCCTTGTTAACAAAATCACTGAGACCTGCAAAAATTGAAACTTAAAAATGTATATGATTTCAGTGAGCAAACAATTGGGTGTAAATGAAAACGTCTCAAAACAAGAAAAACAAGAAAACCCAACAAGGAAATTAAGATAAAAGATTTTTAAAAACCCTTCAAGTTGATATTTTTACCAAAATGATTTGCTTTTTAAACCGATAGTCATTACAGAAAGTGCAGATTATGAAAATATAGGTTACTATCGATCAAAAAACATTGAAGATCATCAATGAACGTAGAACAAAAGGGGGGGGGGAAGATGGGTATTTGTATACCTATTAGAAACGGAGATCAAACGAGAGAATTTAATTCTAGAATTAGTATGGCATTGTATCTACTAATGCAAAATAAAGCAACAGGTTTTTTTCCCCTTTCTTTAGTTTGTTTGTTCTATCCCGCCTTTCAAATGAACGAAGCAGTAACGTAGGGAAAATAAAAACGGAGTCTTTATATTACTTAAAAAGGAGGAAAATGAAAGTCAAAAAACAGAAATGCTAGTTAAAAGGGAATTTTATTTAGGTATCTCGATTTTAATGATCTGACACATGTTATAATTTGATAAATTTATTTCGTTTTATCATATAACTATTTTTTTAAAATAATACATAATGTTACGTTTTGGTTTCATTTTTGTCATTCACTGTAAAAAAAATTAACATAACTGCTAACGTGATATTTTTATTTTTTTTAGTGATGATATGTCATTATCTTATGGTGGCACAACAACATCACCGTTATTTTTTAACTTAAGGGTTACTTTTATTCATATAGTAGATACGGTTTATAATTTTCACCCTGTGATATTTTTGCATCAATTTAACCATTGAAGTTATTTAATTGCATCATCTTAAACTTTTAACCTTTAACTTTAAACTCTAAACCATAACTTCTACTCATTGATTATAAACCCTAAAACATAAATAATAACCTAAACCCTTAAACAATAGTAAATATTTTAAATATTGGTGTAATTAAATAATTTCGATGTCTAAATTGATGTGAAAATACCATAAGATCAAAAATAACTCTTAAGTCTTATTTTTTTAACGACGAGTGATCAAAATGAAGGCAAAACAAAAGGGAATGTGTTCATCTTGAAATCTAAATTTTCTTCAATTAGTTACTTTTATTAGTTGTGTCCAACCAGAAATTTTATTTGTGTACTCTCTATACGAAAAATTTATATTATTAATGTATGTGTGTTCGTCATAAAAAATATATTTTTAAATTTACTGCTGATTAAGTCATATTAAAAGTGTTTCTATTTTAACGATGGAATAATCTATTTGTAATAAATATTTTAATTGAGGGACTAAATTACAACTTCTAGAGATAAAATACCCATTCATAATCAAATTAACAATTAAATGATTTGGATGTATTTTACCCATATATAATCCAGGCATCCTAGTGCTGATAGAACTCCTCCGACTAAAAGCTAACGGAGGAATTTTCAAGTGTAAGTTTCAGCTAAGCTTAGCGCAGCCACCAGTTATCGCGGCGGTGGTCGGAGTGAAAATCGAAACCGTCAAACACCAGCACTTCAGCGCCGGCAACTAGCTTAGCCGGAGTTGACAACGTACGACAAACGGGACAAGTCGATGAACAGCTATAACCAAGCCATCTATCCAAGCAAACCTTGTGGAAAAGATGGTTACACCTCAACTCTCTCATCTCATCGTCTTCTTCGATTTCGCATAGGCAGACGGCACAGGTAACTTCCTCGGCTTCGTCTGGGTCGGTGCCGCAGCCATGAAATCGGACGACGGCGAGTCGATCGACATGAACGGCGGGAAGCGGCGGAAATGGCTGCACGGTGTAAGTGCCGGGGAAGAAGCAATGGTTGAGCAACAAGTTACAGGCTAATTTCAAGTGGTTTAGTATCAAAATGATGTAATAACACAACATGGTGTGGAACTATGGGGGTGATGAAGCAGAAGGACAACAATGGGTGTAAATTGTGGATATTATGACAATAATTTATGGCTAGAAAGAAAAGGGTTATACGAGGGCATTTATAGACTTAAAAGTGGACGGTCGGTAGTAGAAAAACTAGACTTATTCTAAAAATTAATTTTTTCAACTCGACTCGATTTGAAAAAATTTGACTTGAATATACTCCGAGTTTTAATTTTATAAACTCGACTCGAAAAAATTTCAAGTTCAAATCAAGTTGTAAAATACAATTCGAATAACTCAAAATTTTTAGTAATTAGTATATTAATTTTCAAATTTGAATCGACTCTCCTGCCTTTGTATGACATATGTAAATCACATATGAAAAAAATATAAAAAAATACATATGTATTGTATATGATTGTAAATACCATTTAAATTGGAATCAAATAATGTCATAATATTGTAAATATTTGCAATTAAATTTAAATATAAACTCAAAAATTTGACTCGACTCGACTCAAAAAATTATCAAGTCAACTCCGAGTTGTAAAATAAGACTCGTCAACTCAAATAACTCGAAATTTTTTTACTCGACTCGACTTGATCGAACACTCACCCCTACTCCAACCCTCTCATTTCCAAAATTAATTATGGGTTAACTACATCATAGATCACTTATGTTTCTGTTTTATTCACTTTCTCTCACTAATTTTTAAAAAATATAATATTATGATAATTTCGTTTTCATTTAATTAAGATATGGTCACTTCCGTTTTCATTTAATTAAGATGTGGTCACCACGGGTTAACGGTTAACAGAATAGGTGATATGATATTTTGGTATAATCACATTTGATACATGTTATTTACATATTCTTTCAATTTAATCCTACTCTGGCCTCAATTTGCTTTGCTTTATTTTCTTTCGACCAGAGGGTGACACATGTCACCCTTTGATTGGTGAAAATAAATATAATAAATTAAAATAAAATTAATCCTTCAATCGAATGGTGACATGTGGTATCATTCGATTAGAGGATTAAATTTATTTTAATTTATTAAAAGTATGAATAAATTGAGAGAATATATAAATAACAGGGACCAAATGTGTGATTAAACCAAAATATTTAATTGTTATTAACGACGGTTAACTCGTGGTGGCCACATCTTAATTAAATAAAAACGAAAAAGATCATATATTGTGTTTTTTTTAAATCAATGAGAAAAAATTAGAGAAAACACAAATATAAGTGATTAATCACGTAGTTAACTAATTAATTATAGTAGTAAACAATAATTAATTAGGCCAATCAGACTTGAACAATAATTAGAGTAGAATCTGAAGCTTCACACATAATAATAAATGAATTAAGATAAAAAAAAAACAAGTGATCCAACAAATTACATTGAATGATCCAATTATCTTATAAAATTTAAAAGTATTTTTATTTACATAAAAAAATTAAAAATGAAAACCAACCAAAATTAGTGAAAAATCTAATTTTTTTATAAAGAAAATAAGAGAGAGTATAAAGAAAGGCATCCTAATTTAAGGTCGAGAAAATATGCAATCGAAAATGTCATAAAAATCATATTATTTTCGATTGGGTGCAACCTAAAATGTTAAAATTTTCTTAGCATTTTTCGGTTGAAAACCTTTTTTTATAACATTTTCGATTGGCACCTAAAATGTTACTTTCTGCAGAACATTTTCGGTTCAACCTAAAAAGTTAATATTTTAAGTTTCGTCCAACCGAAAATATTATGATTTTTATAACATTTTCGGTTGCATCCATTTTCTGTTGATTCTCAACCTTAAATTAGGCTTTCGTAGGACATAAGGATGAGCATGGGTCAGGTCGGGTTGAATTTTTTATCCAGCCGACCCGAAAAATATACACCTTCCACCCGACCCGAACCCGGCCCGAAAATATACACATTCCATTCGATCCGACTTAAAATAATATTTTTATTAAAAAAATATTTTTATATAGAGATTTAATTGAAAGAAAATAATATATAGATGTATTATATTATTGCAATTATTTCTACGTATATAAGGTAAAATTACAATTTCCGGGTCAGATCAAATATTTTTCACCCTAAATATAAACTCGACCTGACCAGAACATAGCATTAAAAATACTTAACTCGACCCAACCTTAAAATTATTATTTTTTAAATCTAATCGAAACTTGTGAATTTAGAGTACTATGCCCATCCTAGTAGGACATAACTACCCAGAAAATAGAAAGAGATGCTATTTATGACCGATTTTGACGTGTGTGGACGAAATGCGGTGGGCCAAGTCAAATGCAAATGGGAATCTGGGTTTGATTTGATATGATTTTGCCCCGTGACATGCATTTTAACTATTTAAATCGTGATTAGATTCTTTAAATGTTGTACAAAAATGGTATCCTAACTTAACATTTTATCTCAATTTGGTACTTGAAAGGTTTTTTAATCTAATTTAGTATTTATATTTCATATTTTATCCCAATTAACATTTGAGATTTTTTAATATATTTAATTTAGGCTTTATACCAAAATAAATGTCCAAACCATACCTATTTTTTCAAATAGGTGTCTAAACTATTTTTTGACTCATCCTGGTACCTTACGTTACAAACATTACCCATTTAGGCATCGGGGCCATCAACAGTGTTAATTTTCACGTTAAGTGACACGTGATATAATCTGGTAATTTTAAATTGTTATTTAAAATTTTAAAAATAAATTATATATTTAAAAAAACACAAATTAAATTTTGAAAACCTTCACTTCAACTCCTAAACTCACGTCGGCTATCGCCTTTTGCCGTCAACGAAGCTCCACCTGACCTCCCCTCCCCCCAGCGACCAAAACCCCCATAAAATCGTGACCGGTCGATGGTCAATCGACGACGAATCAATGTTTTATACCTCACGAACCCTAGGATGAAAATCACGATCTCATGCAATTTTGACGGCCAATCAACGGAAGCTACGACGGCGTATGAGTAAGAGGATGACATAGACTACGTCGGTGGTGGTGGTCGTTGCCAGAAAGGGCGGCGATGACAGATTAAGGATTTGATATTTTGGGTTGTTTTATAATATAAAAAAAGTTAGTTTTTTTTTTATAAGTATCATAATATTTTTAAAAATAAATTTCAAAATACCAAATTATGACAAATATCTCTTAACGGGAGAAATTAACACCTTTGACGGTCTGACACCTAAATGGGTAACGTTTGTAACGTTAGACAGCTGGATGAGTCAAAAAATAGTTTAGGCACCTATTTAGAAAAAGTGATATAATTTAATCACTTATTTTTTATATTAAGCCTTTAATTTAACATTCAAACTTTATATTATGTCATACTTTAATACTTGAGATTTTAGAATATTATGATTTGGAATACGTAAAGGCTTATATCACACTCTATTAGTCCTAAAAAATATTATGATTTGGAATACGTAAAGGCTTATATCGTACTTTAATACTTAAGATTTTTTTTCCTCAAAATTATATATAATATTTAGTTTTTGTTTTATTTTAGTACTCCACTGTTTAAAATTTAACATGTTTAGTACCTAAACTATCATTTTTGATCCATTTTAGTACCTAAACTTTCAAAAATTTCAAAACTTAACGTTAAAATTTGAATGGAGGTATTAAAATGAAACAAAAACTAAACTTTAAGTATAATTTTAAAATAATTAAAAGTTTAGGTATTAAAAAAGACAAATAAGTAGTTTAGATACCAAACATATAATTTACCCTTTAAATGATCACTTTTTCATGTATTTGAACGTGAAACATTTCCTTTGAGAGACAAATATTTCGTTCTCGTACGATAGGTGGTCACAACAAACAGCGAACGGAAGTAACGCAAGGGAGGCCAAAGACAATCAAACACCGTGTCCCAGACAAAACCTAAACCATCAAGCAAGGACACATTGAACACGTGGTCAACCACCGTGGGAAAGGAGGAGAACAGCCATTCAGCGGCTCAACCGCACCCCACCACAACTGAGGGGTGGTTAAATTTAAATAATAGAAGAACCGAAACAATTTCAAACCAAAACCAACAATGATACAAACAAATTATAAATTTAAAAATAATGATTATTTACACGAATCAATCGACTTCGGTTGAAAAAGAATTATAATTATTCTTTAAGGTTTTAAATTCGAGTATCTTAAATGTCAGGGGCATAAACGTTTAGTGTCATTAGTTAAGGGTTATATCTGAACCAAAAAAAAATTATAGTTATTCTTTAAGGTTTTAAGTTCGAGAATCATAAATGTCAGGGGCATAAGCGTTCAGTGCCATTAGTTAAGAGTTATATCTGAACAAGTAAACACATACTACCTTGTAGTTACCCCAGATTTAAGGGTAAACAAAACTCAATTCGATTAGAAAAATTAATTTTATCGACTCTACTTTAAAAAATTAGACTCGAATTAACTTCGAGTTGTAATTTCATAAACTCAACCCAACTTGAAAAAATTTAAAGTTAACGAGTTATAAAATGTAACTTAAATAACTCAAATTTTTATGATATATTTTATATTACATATAAAAAAAATATGAAGAAATATTTATGTATTATATATGGTTATAAAAAATTCATTTAAATTATAATCAGATAATATCATAATATAATAAATATGTATAATTAAATTTAAACAAAAATTTGACTCGACCCGAATTTTAAACTCGATTCGAAAAAATTTCAAGTCAATTTCGAGTTGTAAAGTAAAAAACATCAACTCAACTAACTCAAAATTTTTTGACTAAATTCGACTTGATTAAACACTCACCCTACCTAGATTAATGCTGCAAAAATGTTAAAAAGAAGGGTAAACTACACCATTCCTCACTTAACTTTACGCTCTCTTATTTTACTCACTGTACTTTCAATTTTTCTAATTTGCTCACTGAAATTTCGGCTTACTTGTTTTGGCTCAATCCAAATTGTTTTCTTTCCCCCCTAACTTTATAGCTTTGAAACTAATATC